TTCCCTGGTACCAGGGAGCTTTGTCAAAGGCTCAGGTAAGCAATTTAATGCTAACTGTAAAATGCAAACCCACCTCTTTCTGGGATGGTAATGTTGCAGCACTCTAACAGACATAGCATTTGATTTATTTTGGACAATATTCTGCTTAAAGGACCTAGAGTCTTTTTTTTTTTTTTTTTTTTTGAGACTGTTGCTGGGGCTGGAGTGCAGTGCAGCTGGGATTACAGGTGCCCACCACCATGCCCAGTAGAGACAGGGTTTCACTATGTTGGCCAGACTGGTCTCAAACTCCTGACCTCATGATCCGCCTGCCTCAGCCTCCCAAAGTCTGGGATTACAGGTGTAAGCCACTGCACCTTGCCTAGAGTCTTAATTCACACACAAAATCAAGGCTTAAATATAAAGCAGGGGTCCGGGAGCAAGCCATGGTGAGGTTGCATATCAGATTTCTCTTGCCCTGACTTAAAAATCTTTCACTGTTTAAATCTATTGATTTCTAAAACATAACTATAATGCTGGAACAGGAGATGGGACCCCCAGCTTTTATTTAGCACTTGACTGAAATGTAACATAGACTTCAGTCTCTTTTATATTAAATAAATGTCAGCTATTGTTCATCTCCAGTGAAATGAATAAATCTTAGATGACAAGGACTTCAAGGTAGACAAAAGGAGGCAAGATAGAGCTAAGGAATTAAAAAAATTTTAAGAGTTCAGGGAAAATGATAAAATATCTTAATCTAGAGATATTTAAGAAGGGATCTTTTCCCTAAAACTAGGGGAGCTAAGGGTACTTCTTCATGAACCACAGTAGCCATCTAGTCTTGTTTGTGCTACAGTAAGAATAGCAAGACATGCTTCAGGAAAGTTGTACAGTGCAAACAGCCCCCCACTGCCTCGGAGTTCATTGAGTAGGGGTCTCTTTTTACAGAGGAGACCCAAGCTGAATCTCTCTTGCTCTGGTGTTCTAGAAACTCAGTGGTGAAGGCTGATCTGTGACTTTTCCCCAGATTCCTTGAATTCATGAGTGTTAAGGCCTAAGATTTAACATGCAGTTAACCTTGTTAACAAAGGTGCCTTCATATTGAGGAGACATTAAAGCTTAGCTACACAAATATACTTTGTCTCCTCCAGTGCTTTAAAAAACAAACAAACAAACAAACAAACAAACAAACAAACAAAAACTACTACAAGCTGGGCAGAATCATAGTAAAGAAGCATTTTCCATTGCTTCAAGCAGAGCAAGTAGAATCTCAACCAATAGTAGTTCTCCTTAGTTTCACTAGGGACATTAGATTCGTAGTGGTTCATTTCAAACCCAGGCTTCCCCTTTCAGGGACTGTTTTGTCACCTGCAGGCTGAAGCGTTCTCAGCTGAAGATGCAAGGTTGTCCTACAGAACATTTGGTAATCAGGGTGGGAAGGGAGGGAAACATTTGCATGTGGCATTCTCTGAAACAAGGTTGTAATAGCTACTTGAGAGAGAACCTAGGTTTTCCTTGAGATTCCCAGGCAGAGTCAGCAGTGATGAGGTGTCACATTATGAACAGCCAGGCTTTCCACTTGGCCCTAGCTTTGGTAGCATTTTTTAAAAAAAATCTGAGTTGGAATAAGGATATTCAGGGCCAGAGTCAGGGAAATGATGCCACAAAGGACAAGGAGGGGAGTAGGGATGGGAGGAGGCTGAGCAGCTGTGGGCAGCGTCTCTGAAGGTGAAGTGACCTCCCAACCTGTTCAGGGCCTCCTGGGGCTGAGGACAGGAAATGGAACGGTTGTTTTAATGAAGAGCCCTGGAGGAGAGAGATCCCAGCCTGGCTGACAGATCCAGTCTTGCCCTTCCTCCCTGTGGGATTCAGGAGGGTAAGCTGAGGGTCCTCTCTGCGTGAGGACCGCTCCTGGTGCCCCGCACACCTCCACCTCTGCCATTCTCATGTAGAATCATGGAGGTGTGCCAGCAGAGGATCCGAGAGTTTCAGCCACTTATCCAAGGGCAAACAGCAATTAGGTGGACTCCAGGATCTTTCACAGATTGTACTGTTTCTTCTGTGAATAGTGTTTATCTTTGTTCCTCCCCTTTCCCTGAGTTTTGGATAGAGAGGCTATCACCCAGATCGAGGAGGATCTGGGTGTTTGATTTACCAACACGCATTTTGTGACCCCACAGAACCTTCTGGTGGGTGCCTGGAGTTCCAAAGAGAGCAGCTGCCATTTTCTTTGCCCGATGAGCTGGCTCGGTGACCTCCTTCAGTCATGGAAAGTCCCTTCCCCAGTTAGACTCTAGCTTTCCTCTGGCTGCTCCTGCTGCTAAAATAAAACCGGGCGAATCCCTCAGTAATGCGTGGAGCATGAAGAGGTGGGGCTGCTTCTCCGGCTTCTGTCAGAGGTGTGAAGAGGTCATTTTCTGTGCACACAGCTTTGCTCCTCTGGCTGCCGCATCTCCGTCCCGCTCCAGCTGAACTGCTCTTACTACTTCTGTGCTTACTTTGCCAAGAGCCTCTTCATATTGACTGTTTTTCTCCAGGGACACTCCTGTTGAACTCGGCTTTGGGCATCACTCTTCCTTTCTCTTTTAAAGAGTGAAGTCCGTGAACCCAGGCAAGAGTCAGCACAGACGCTGTACTACAGAAACGGCTCGCTAAGCTCTTTAAGGCCCCCGTGCTCCCCTCCACCCCAGCACTTGTGTAAATCCCACAGATGCAGCTGAATGACTTTACGTCCTCCAACTGTGAGACAGGCGCTGTGGAAAGAATTAGCAACACGTACCCTTGGAACTGATATTTGTAAAAACAAGCTTGATCTGGATTTTCGGTACTGTTGCAGAGAACAAAACTAACCACAGTGAGTTTGTAGCACAAGACAGACGTGATCAGAAAACAGCGAAGGCTCCAGCAGCACGGTCCACCCTTTCCTCCAGCGCCCTCTCCCCATTTCCACTCACATTTTCCCAAACAAGCTACCAAACAGGTTATGCCTCTTAAGTGTCACTTCAGCCACAGGGCGACTTGAATGGATTGCACTGTTCACATTTCCTCCCTTGGTCTTTTGTGGATTAGAAACCATAGTGTGTTAAGATAAAGAAATTAGGTCAAAGCAGCCATAAACAGGTTCAAATCTTTATTTTTATTTTTTAAGAGATGGGGGTCTCACTCTAGTCCAAGCTGGAGTGCAGGGGCACAATCATAGTTCACTGCAGCCTCAATCTCCTGAGCTCAAGTGATCCTCCAGCCTCAGCTTCCCAAAGTGTTGGGATTACAGGCGTGAGCCATTGTGCCCTGCCAAATTTTTTTTACATGTTGCATTAACACCACCATTTAATTGGTGGCCTTCATATGGTCTATGGAAGCCAACACTTCTTAAAGAATAAAGAATAATAGAAGACTAAGTACACATTTAGGGACTTTAAAAAAAAATCACAAAATATTTTGTTGAAAGCATCTTCATGTTTTTAAAATCAGGAAAAGCTTGCTGTTCAAACTTCTAAAATGGGTTTTTGAACACAGTGCAAACAGTTTAGAGAAAGAATAATAATTAAAAAAAATGCCAGATCCATTTTTTCTAACGAGTGATCAGGAAAGCAGAGGCGAGAGGTGACTTTAATTTCACAAGCAAATATACACCCATGTGCACATTTATACATCCGTTTTCTGATTACATCATACTACAGGCAACAAGGGGGCCTGGCCAATACTGGACTTCTCAGACACAGAGCTGCCAGACAGCGCGAGTGGAACCTGGATACTGAGTTTTCCAACACCTTACTGGGGAGAGAATGAGAGTCAGGTGCAGCTGAGAGACAATACTAAATGAGCGGTGCTTTTTGCAAGAAGAGGGGACGAGGACAATATCTTCATCCTGAGAGCTGGTTCTGAGAACTTCAGGGAGGAAGTCCAGAGCCCTGATCTACATAAAATGACAGATGACGGACTTGCTGTGGAGGACTCCTGCAGTAGTGTTCCTGGTTAGAATACTGATTTCTTCCCCAAAGGTGATGTGGGCACAGAGCTGAGCTGTGTGAATGGGAGGGCTGAGTAAGCACTGCTCGCTCTGCTGAATTTGCTGTGGCAGCCCAAGCCCTTACCATGAGGCCTGTCTGCCTGCTGCTGCTGTTACCAGTCTCTTAGTATGGTTAGTCATTTCTCTTGTTCCTGCTGCTGTTAAAAGGGCTTTTCCTGTTTCTCCTGCCTTGAAGCTGGCCAGACATCTGTGGAGTGACAGGCCCTTTCCAAGAAGGCAGAGCCAGTGTGATGAGATCCACACAGGTCAGTGAGATGAAGACACGAAGGAATATATAAGCACCCAGGCCTTGGTCCCAGTGACAGTTACTTGGTAAGAGCAATGTGTGACAAACCCCACTCCTGAACCCTTCTGATGGCATTGCAAACCTGGGGAAACATACAGTTTCTTCTGGGAGGTGACTAGCTGGTGCCACTAGAACATCTATCCCAGTAGGGCCTGGGGTCACCTCCCCATCATATTCTAAAGAATCACATACTCCTGCTGGAGCAGCAGGTGTTGCAGAGGTGTGAAGGGGGCCAAGTCAGTCTCTGGGCAGGAAATCCAAGCTGCTGGCCTTTCTGGGCAGGGTGACAACTGGAGGGAAGAGTGCAGCAGCATTCTGCCATTGCTGGCAAGTCTCCGTGAGGGTGGGAGGGACCCCAGGATGGCGAGTTGACTTGGATGCAGCATCTGTCCCTGTCGCACTCAGAGCTGCAGATGGAAGGGGCAAGTGTTTCTCAGCTCCTCATGTTTGCGTCTGTCCTCAACATGGCTCCCCTTCTGCCTCCCTTCTTGCAGGTGTAAATCTCCTGCAGCCCCTCTCCTTCCTGTGTGAACACAGAGTTGGCTCTACAGGGGGCGAGTGGAGCGTCTGGCAGTGGTTACTTTGCTGCAGTCACTGTGATTTTGGTGAAACAGCACCAAGATTGATCGCTCCCTCCTCTCCTGTTAATGTTGGAGGTTCAGAAGACAGGGATCTGGTCTCTCCGAACCACATCAAGGTCATCATCCAAAGTTAACAAAACCTGAAATGAGAGGGACGGAGGAATGAAAGGAATGGACAGTCACTGTTACACTTAGTCCCTGTTTTCTCTCGGAGACGTCCACAGACTGGAAACTGTGAGTTCCCTCATGCCTTCTGCAGCTCTCTGCAATGCCTTGCTCTTAATAGGCATTTATCATAATTATACAATTCATTTGTCAATTAATTCAAATATTTGTGAAGCTATTCCAGTTGCTATGGAGATAGAGTTTGGAATGAGAGAGAAAATTCCTTATTCTCCATGCAGCTTACATTCTAAAGAGGGCTTTAGAGATGAAACAAATACATAAGTAAAATGTAGCACTTTAGATAGTAATAAGTGCTAAGGATAAAAGTTAAATAAGGGAGGAAATATAGGAAGCTTCAGGTGTGGGGAGGTAAAAAATTTTGATAGGGTAGCCTGGGAAGTCATTACTTAGAAGGGAACATTTAGGTCAAGACTTAAAGGGCATGAAGTCCTGTTGGATAGAGTATTGCTATATAGAAATGCACCCTCCTCTATTTCTAGTTCCCTCGACCACTGTCCCCGCGTGGAACCTTTAGTTCCCCTTTTGTTGTTTCTGTCTCTCTCAAGAAAGTGATGATCACAAGTAAAAGCCATAAGGAATGTTCATACGGATTGGTTAAGCTTCCCAAAGTGGCCACTAGGGGGTAGCCCTGCTCCACTCTTGAAGTTACACGGCAGGCCTGAGCCTGCTTAGCGTGGAGCTGGGGAGTCAAGTAGGGTTGTCAATTGAACCTGCCTGCAGGCACACGGACTTCTAATTGGGAAACTTCAAAGTTAGAATTAAAGGATGAAACTGTAATCCAGGGTTGATATAAATACGCATGGTTTCTGAGAAAGGGCTGGGGCAAAAAAATATACAAACTACAGGGAGATTTGGGACAGACTGGTCAGAAGGCAGCAGAGGCATGGCTGCTATCCCAGGCCACTTAAGGAATCTGTAACATATTTGTGAAATATTCAGGGACACTGGAGGAGGAGGAGGAGGAGGAGGAGGAGGAGGAGGAGGAATGTGAGTATGGCATGAGAAGGAATAACCCAATGTTATCAGAATTGCTAAAAGTCATTCCTGGGGAAATTCTGGGCACGTGGGTCTAATAACCAATTCAGGACAAATGTGCTGTGCAAATGTGCTGTGCAACTTTTGTCCTTCTGTGTCTAAAGATACGGAAGAGTAAAGAAAAACTGAAGATCTAACCAAAGGATACAAAATTTTAGAAAGAAATAAGATGGTCTGTACATTGAATTACAAGGAGGAATTGGAAAGAAAAATTAGAGAGGAATATAAAAAAAGGTTATAAGGAAGAGCAGCAGAAGAAAATGAGAGTACAAGATGTAAACAGAGAAGGTAGTCACAAAAAGATAGATATGAACTCACCAAGAATGAGAAAAACAGAGCAGTAGCAGAGAGGAAGTGCCAGATGTCATGGTCATCGAAGAAATCCAGCAGAATACACTCGCGATTCTTCTCCCGGGATTCAGCCGGGGTTCCCTGGAGGAAAGTGAGGCAGGGCATGGGCAAGATTCCCACAGTTCAACTGTTCAGAGCTGAGCATCTGAAAGCTACAAAAACGCAACTAGTTGTCTAGTTCAAAAAGTTAGCTTCCAAGAAAACATACATCCACACAAAAACCTGTACACAAAGACCTCAAAAGCACAGGCAACCCAAACAAAAATAGAGAAATGAAATTACATCAAGCTACGAAGCTTCTGCACAGCAAAGGAAATGACCAACAAAGTGAAGAGACAACCCACAGAATGGGAGAAAATATTTACAAACTATCCGTCTGACAAAAAATTAATAACCAGGATAGATAAGGAGCTCAAACAACTCTAAGGGAAAAAATCTAATTTAAAAATGGGCAAAAGATATGAATAGACATTTCTCAAAAGAAGTCATACAAATGACAAACAGGCATATGAAAAGGTTAATTGATCATCAGAGAAATGCAAATCAAAAGTACAATGAGATATCACCTCACCCCTATTAAAAAGGCTTGTATCAAAAAGACAGGCAGTAACAGATGCTGGCGAGGATGTGGAGGAAAGAGAACCTCACCCACTGTGGTGGGAATGTAAATTAGTACAGCCACCGTGGGGAACAGTTTGGAAGTTCCTTAAAAAACTAAAAATTGAGCTACAGCCAGGTGCGGTGGTTAGGCCTGTAATCCCAGCATTTTGGGAGGCCAAGGTGGGTGGATCGCCTAAGGTCAGGAGTTTGAGACCAGCCTGGCCAACATGGTGAAACCCTGTCCCTACTAAAAATACAAAAAACATTAGCTGGGCATGGTGGCGGGCGCATGTAATCCCAACTACTCAGGAGGCTGAGGCAGGAGAATCACTTGAACCTGGGAGGTGTTGCAGTGAGCCGAGATCATGCCATTGCCCTCCAGCCTGGGTGACAGAGTGAGACTCCGCCTCAAGAAAAAAAAAAAAGAAAAAAAAAAAAAAAAAAAAAAAGAAAGAAAGAAAGAAAAGAAAAAGAAATAGAACTACCATATGATCCAGCAATTCTACTACTTGATATATATCCAGAAGAAAGAAATCAGTCAAAGAGATATCTGCACTCCCATGTTCATTGCATAGCATTGTTCACAATAGGCAAAATATGGAATCAATCTAAATGGCCATCAACAGAAGTATGGACAAAGACAATATGATACACATATCTACATAGACAATGTACATATACATACATACACACACAATAAAAAAGAATAAAATCCTGCCATTTGCAGCAACACCTATGGAACGTGGGGCCATTATATTAAGTGAACTAGGTGAAGTGCAGAAAGACAAACATTGCATGTTCTCACTCATATGAGGGAGCTAGAAAAGTGGATCTCATGAAGACAAAGAACAGCTCGGTAGTTACCAGGTCCGGGAAGGGTAGTGGGGAGAGGGAGATGAGGGGAAAACAAAAGAATATACATGTATTTATTACATGTGCTGCCGAAGCGAGCACAAGAATATGCATGTATTTATTATCACTGAACTGCACACTACAATGGTAACAATGGTAAATTTTATATGTATATTTTACCTCAAGAAAAAAAACTTGTACACAAATATTCACAGCAGCATCATTCATTCATAAAGACATAAAAATAGAAACAATCCAAATGTCCATCAACTGATGAGCAGGTGGGTAAAATGCAGCATATCAGTACAGTGGATTATTATTCAGCAACGACTAGACAGGAAGTACTATGTATGTCACAACGTGCTTGAACCTAGCACACATAAGGGAAAGAAGCCAGACATGAAGGCCACATATGATGTGATTCCATTATATGAAATATCTGGAATAAGCAAATACGCAGAGACAAAAGGTAGATTTAGCAGTTGCTTAGGGCTAAGGAGTCAGGGAGAAGTGAGGAGTGACTGCTAATGCTATCAGGTTTCTTTCCAGAGTGACAGAAGTGTTCCAAAATCTATTGTGGTGACGGTTGTGGTGGAATGCTAAGACTTCTTCCTGTTCTGTGCCTCAGATATACCACTAATTTCCTAGGCCTGGGCTCTGCTGTCTATGGACTGGACATAATGACACTCCCGCTTGGGTATTTGTTGATGGATGGAGATGATGAGAAAGTTGCCAAGATGAACTCAAAGCTTTCGACCACGTTAAGCATCCACTGGGACCAGCATCCAGTGCTTACAGATTTATGAAGTGCCATCCTGAGAATGATAACCACATGCGGTTATTGTGCATTTATGTGTGGCTATTAAAAACCATCCCTTGTAAAGAAAACTTTCATTTTAGACACTGTGAAAACACGTTAAGAGAGAGGTAGAAAGGCCAAAACGGCAAATTGGAGAGAGGAGTTCTTCTTGGAATAGCAAACTAGCCCCTTACCTCCCAGCTGCTGAGATTCTGGAAGAAAAAGTACAGGGCGGCAGCCCACATCACAGCGGTGGCCACGATGCAGACAAGCGGCACTGGGAGGACCTTCTCGGAGCTGCGGAGCTGTCGGGAGAGACCAGATGCGGCCTCGCAGGATCCCGCCTGCGCCAGCCGGAGGGCCGAGGCAGCCACTTCCGGCGCCCGCTCTTACCTTCATGATGATGTAAAAGGCCAGGTACAGCAACAGGTTACAGATGAAGATGCCCAGCATGTAGGAAGCAAAGTCCCTGGGGCGGTATATCAATCCGAAAAGGGCGCTGCGGGCGTGGGAGAAATGTGGGCAGCCGTGAAGGTGGGTTTGTAACACTATTGGCCTTTCCAATGCCCCAGCCCCTTGAAGGGGAAGGGGCAGGTTCTTTTTTTTTTTTAAAACAAAAACTTTTATTTTTAGTTAACTTCACTTTTTTTAAACTCTTACCTCGTGATGCAACAGATTTTTTTAAAAAAATACTTTAACATGTAAATTTTTTTTTTTTTTTTTTAAAGAGTTGGGGTCTCACTCCCTCACTCAGGCTGGGGTGCAGTGGTGCGACCACGGCTCGCTGCAATCTCCACCTCCTGGACTCAAGTGATCCTTTCACTTCAGCCTGTCTGGTAGCCGGGACTACAGATACATACCACCACTTCCAGCTAACTTTTGACATTTTTTTTTTTTTTTTTGTAAAGGCAGGGTCTTGCTATGTTGCCCAGCCTGGTGTTGGATTCATGGCCTCAAGCCATCCTGTTGCCTCAGCCTCCCAAAGCCCTGGGATTACGGCTGTAAGCCATAGTGTCTTGCCTATATAAATAACTTCCAATTTATTACACTTTCTTCCAAGCATCCATTTCTAACAACCATGTAAAGTTTCCATAATTGAATTAATGTAAACGCTCATCTTTCCTCTTTTGTTAACGTGTTTCCCCACATCCTTCAGTTTTTCACTATTATAAGAAACACTACAATGAATAAATGAATACTTTCAGACATTGCGCTTATCTTTTTTTCATTTAAGATTAGTTCCTTAGAATAGAAGCAAAATTATCTCCGTAATTGGCTTGACACACATTGCCAAATTTTTGCTAGCTGTCCATGGTTTTCAAATTAATGCTACAGTTAATTTTGGTTGGAGTTAGCTTTAATTTTGTTACAAATTTCTATTCAGTTATAACGTCCTTTATTACATAATTCTTCCTTATCTCCTTGTTTTGAAATGGTTTTTAATGAATACACATCCATATATATATATTTTTAAATCTCCATCTCTCTATCTAGTTGGGTTTCTGTCCTCCGTTTGGATTCACTGACTCATATTTTTAATTTCTAATTTTAGATCAGTGCCTCACCCTTTTATTATTGTTTTATAATATTCTAGGTTATCTGATTAGGCTAGCCTGCACTGTTCCATTTGGTAGCCACAAATGGTTATTTAAATTTACATTAATTAAAATTAAATAAAATTGAAAATCTACTTTCTCAGTCATACTGGCCACATTTCAAGTTTGTAGTATCCATGTGCCAACAGTTACTGTATTGGACCTTATGTGTGTAACATTTACATCACTCCAGGAAGTTCTACGGAACAATGCTGGGCTAGTCACCTCTGCCCCTCCTTCCTTCCGTTCATCTCTTTTTCAAAGATCTTTGGAATTTTTGCCTAACTAGGCAAATAAATTTTAGAATAAAAGCTTATTAGCTTAAATACTATTCTAACTCTAAATTTACATATTACCTTGAGAAAGAATATCTTTACAATAATCTTTCCACCCAGGACCTGAGGTCTCTCTTCATTTAGCTAAATTTTCCTTATGGCTCCCGATAAGGTATTAATTACATTTTCTCTCTCTCTCTCTCTCTCTCTCTCTCTTCTTTTGACGGAGTCTTGCTCTGTTGCCCAGGCTGGAGTGCAGTGGTGCCATCTCGGCTTACTGCCATCTCTGCCTCCCAGGTTCAAGCGATTCTCTTGAACTCAGCCTCCTGAGTAGCTGGGACTACAGGTGCCCCCCACCATGAGCGGCTAATTTTTTGTATTTTTAGTAGAGTCGGGGTTTCACCACGTTAGCCAGGATGGTCTCTATCTCCTGATGTTGTGATCCACACCTGCCTGGGCCTCCCAAAGTGCTAGATTACAGGCGTGAGCTACCATGCCCAGCAGTAATTACATTTTGTAAAGAAAGATTGTGTAGATCTCTCAAAATTTATTCCTAAGTATTTAAAGTGTAAAGCTACTATTAATGGACTCTTTTTTTTTCCATTTTGAATTTCAACTGACTTTGTTTTTGTTTTTTTTTTTTTGAGAGAGGGTCTCACCATGTTGCCAAGACTGACCTTAAACTCCTGGGCTCAAGCAATCCTCCCGCTTCAGCCTCCCAAAGTGTTTTGATTATAAGTGTGAGCCACTGCACCCCGCCTCAAATGACTTTGTTCTCTATAATAGAGAAAATTTTCTCCTCCAAGATTTTGAAATCTTTAGTATATGAAGCAGTTCTTGTATATCCTTCATTCAGATTCTCCAATTATTAGCATTTGTTACATTTGCTTTATCATTTTTCTCTCTATATATATATATTCATATGTATGTACACACATCTCTATGCCTACATATAAATACATGTGTATGTATGCACACACACCATTTTTCTTCTTCAGGACCATATGAAAGTAATTCTTTTTAAAATAACATTCATAGGAAATCATTCCACGTCTTTATGGAGCAACTGAGAAGGCGGTAGTGCACGATCAGATAATCATGGTGTATGTCTGCCATTGCACCGCCTTCATCTCTAGAGCCCCTGTTGTCCCACAGAACTGTCTATGAAGAGAGGTCATTTGCCTTGTCTTGTGAGCAAATCATGCGTTTGGTTTTGCTAACGTGAGAGACAGAGACAAGACAGGTGATTCTATGTCCCTGGGGTCATAGTCAAAGGCTGTTCATTATCAAGAAGTTGGTCCCTTTTCTCCTCCCAGTGCCCTCTCTTTCAGGGCCACCAGGACTATGCAGTCTGCTAGAAGCATGGTCAAGAAGAGACCACTGCCCAAGAATCCTCTCATCTTGACCTGCCCCAAGTAAAGGAGGAATCCTTAAAGAGTATGCATCTTATCCTGAGGCAATCCCTGGGGTGACAACATGAAAAACTTCTTCCAGAAGCACATGCCCCTGAAATAAGACTCAGATTCTCATGACTTGATTCTGGTTTCTTCTGAAGGCATGCCTCTTCATTCCTTAATGTTCACTGGGATTAGAGAATCTTTTTTTTTTTTTTTTTAAATCAAAGGCCACTGACCCCGAGGAGCTCATCAGGTAGGACCCACAAATAAAAGTAGTTAAACTTACTTATTTTTTGAGTGATCAAAAAATATTTCACTCATTCAACTGTTTAAGTTAAGAATAGGTTGCACAAAGTAATTTTGGCTAGCAAAAATATACATCTGTTGTACTGTTCTATTTTGAGCCATGTGAGGAACAAAGGGCATGGGGAAAGAGAAAGAAGAATGATGTAGGTAGAAAGAAAGAGATCTAGAGGGAAAGAAAGAAAAGAGGGACTATACACACACACACACACACACACACACACGCGCGCGCGCACACACACAGAGCAAGAAAAATTTCTACAAAAAAGAAGGCCTACTGGGTAGTCTTTATGGAAAGTTTTGCAAAATAGTTTAAAGCTATGTTGCATGTTTGCAATCATTGGCATAATTATCTATCTATCTATCCATCTATCCATCCATCTGTCCATCTATCTATCTATCTATCCATCTAGCTATCTATCACCTATCTATCCATCTAATCTATCTATCCATCTATCCATCCATCTGTCCATCTGTCTATCTCTCTATCCATCTATCTATCCATCGTATCCGCATAGATCTAACTACTTTTGATGTTTATTTTTTTGAGCAAATGAACTCAATACATCAGTGTTTTAAGAGAGGCTACAATTGGTGCATGAGAATGTCCTACTGCCTTCTTTGCAGGAAATAAAACACCTGTTTTGAGTCTCTAGAACAAGCAGTCCTACCTTCTCCTTAATTTCAGATTTCTCTGTAAAAATCACAGTCAAGGAAAGCTAAACCACAGGGTTACCAACATTAATAAAGGCAAAAACATGTTTTCATAAGACCACTTACAAGGACCAGTTAACCAGATTCCCCACAACCAGCAACACCATTCTATCCTAGAAAAGAGGAAAGAAAACATCAAATTAGAGGCTGCACACCCTACTTTTCTTTTATGCTACTGTGGTGGAAGCATCAATTATAGGAAAACAATTGCGTTGGTGAAAAAATTTTCCTATGGATCTAAGAGAGCCTTACCTATGATCTGACATTAATCGTGTACAAGGACTAAATGGCAAGGCTTCCAACTGCAAATAGACCTGACCTCATCCCTATGAAAGAAAATGTGGTCAGCAAAGCAGGACTCTGACTATTTCTCCCCAATATTTAGTGGAGCTGGCACATGGACCACTTCTTAGTGGGGAGGCTAGCGGTATGCACTGATTACTTCATAGTTAAGAGAACTCTGCCACTGGTACTGTGTAATCGAGGACTGTTTTTCTGGAGAGTACTACTTGGTAGCCGCTATTGCGACTTTCAGGCCTCAGCTGTAGGGAGTTAGTTTTGTACCCATTACTCTAGTTCTAAGGGGGTCCTGAAACTCTCAAACTCGTGTATCTACAATATACACTCATGTAGGGGAGAAGATAGGGAGAAAAGTTCCATTTTAAAGGACAATAGGCCAGACACAGTGGCTCATGCCTGCAGTCCCAACACTTTGGGAGGCTAAGGCAGGTGGATCACCTGAGATCAGGAGTTCAAGATCAGCCTGACCAACATGATGAAACCCCCTCTCTGCTAAAAATACAAAAAATTATCCACATGTGGTGGCACACACCTGTAAGCCCAGCTTCTCAAGAGGCTGAAGCCTGAGGAGCATTTGAACCTGAGAGGTGGAGATTGCAGTGAGCCAAGATTGTGCCACTGCACTCCAGCCTGGGTGACAAAGCAAGACTCTGTCTCAATCAATCAATCAATAACAATTACTCGGACAGAAATTTATTCACAGTCTGTCCCTGTTCTTTACATACTACTTAAAACTTTTAGGAGAGAGTTGGTAATAGTTTTATTTGCATAACCTCTCATCTATTTAAAACTAGCAATTCTTTATCTTTTAGGTGATCCATCCAATTTGGAGGAAATAACTTCATAGAAAAACATGAGTTCACCTATTAGAATGGCTAAAATCCCCAAACAGCGACAACACCAAATGCTGGCGAGGATGTGGAGCAACAGTAACACTCATTCATTGTTGATGGGAATGCCAAACAGCACAGCCACTTTGGAAGACAGTGTTGCAGTTTCTTACAAAACTAAACATATGATTGCCATACAATCCAGCAATAGCTCCCTTTGGTATTTACCAAAAGGAGTTGAAAATTTATGTCCACACAGAAACC